GTACCAGTAGAATGCTGATTGTGTCCCCTGTACCTGTAGTTGTGGAGATGCCATGGCTGCCATCGCCTCCAGCACGTGTTTCCCTGAGCCGTGGGAGGTTCCAGTGGAGAGACGGAGGCTGGGCTGGGTCCACAAGTCGTTTGCTGGGACCCGCTGTAGTGACCACGTCGCCATGCTCATGGCCTACCAAGGCTGGGAGGAGGCACGGTCAGTAGAATTTTAGTCTCTTTGTAAATTCTTCCTTTCTTCATAAGAAAGCAGACTAGAGCTTTTGTCAATCTTGTATTGTCTTTCTGTAGCATTCTTTTTTCTCCAAGCAGAAAAGCAGAAGAGTTTTCTCTTTGCAGGGAATGATAACATGTCTTTTAGTGTTTCATCAGAGGATTCAGATTTTTCCTGGTATGAAAATATCAAACTGAATTCTTAAGATATTTTCAGGTACTCTGCCTTTGGTGTATTCATGTGAAGGATTGTTCTAAAGAGTCAGTTTTGTTTTTTCCATCACCACTCAGGTCCTATGGAGAAGACAGTGAGATGAATTTCTGCCAGCGCAAGTCGTTGAACATGGCCACCCTGCGCATGACATATGAGGCTAAGAACCAGCTGAAGGATATCCTCATGATGGCAGAGTTCCCCGAAGGTAAATGTCAAACCTGACGTTAAATGTATGAGAAACTCTCCTCATTGTTGCTATGATGACTTGCCTCTGACACCTCTTGTTGGAGTGTTGTGTGCACAATGAACGCAACATGCAAGCGACTGAGCAACAGAATGATACTATGTCCTCTCACCTTTTTTCCAGAAGTGAAAAACTTTCACGATTTGAAGAAAAAATGTGTTAATACCAATACTTTGTCTTTGTTCCTGCAGAATGCTTGTTGCCACACCACTTTGACCACACAGGCCCAGACTCCAAGTTGGACATGGTGGGTGTTTAACCATTACTTCTAACTTGTACAGAATATCATCTATCTTTATCTATCCATATGAAAACCCAGTCAAACTATACATGAGCATCTATGGCTAAAAGCTGTCTGTTGTAGCGTTCTTTACCATGAATGTACCATACCTACCAATGTGGCTGTCAAAAATGATGTCCCCAAAACACTAGATTCTCTACCAGGAAGAATGTTTTGGGTTGTCTTTTTTTGACAGCCTACCTCATATATCTGTTCCAGGTGATTTCCCTGCTGACCATGGGCCTGTACCCCAACGTCTGCTTCCACAAGGAGAAGCGTAAGCTGCTGACTACAGAAGGCCGCGCTGCCCTCATCCACAAATCCTCCGTCAACTGTAGCAACAGGGAGCAGACCTTCCCTTCACCCTTCTTTGTGTTTGGAGAAAAGGTGAGCTTGGTGAACATCTACCAGCTTTAAATAGCTTCTTGTCCATCCCCATTTTGAACTGTTGAACTGTATGAACTTCAACTGTTGATGATTGCCTTCCCAGATCCGAACCAGAGCCGTGTCAGCCAAACAGATGACCATGGTGTCTGCGGTCCAGCTGCTGCTGTTTGGTTCCCGCACAGTCAACACCAAGGACGGGGACATCAAACTGGATGACTGGTAGGAAAACTTTGTGCCACAAAATTACTGAAATATTTAAGCATTTCTTTCAGCCCTTAATAGAGAATTAAGATTTATGTTTTGCCAAGGCTTATATGTGTTGGGATTCATTCTTCAATATTTAGGTCAGTTGCGGTACAGTTTCAAATTTTTTAAAAATAAAGTTATGAGATTGCTATGATGATTTGCCTCTGACACCTCTTGTGTGAGTGTCACAGACACCTTGAACGCATTGTGCAAAGGACTGAGCAATAGAACAAACTAGTTCAGTTGCAGTACAGTTTCACATTTGTATGCATGTTGCTGTTGTACTTCATAATCACTACCCTACTTTGCTTTACAACTGCAACATGAAAATAAGTCTTTAGATGAACCATGATATAAGATACCCAATGTTGTTTTGACAGAAATTCCTTATTTTTCCAAAGGATCACCTTGAAGATGTCTCACCCCTCTGCGGCGGCGGTGTGTGCCCTGCGCCCGTCCATGGACCGCCTGATCGTGCAGGCCTGCAGCCAGCCAGAGACCATCCTGGAGCCGCAGCAGCTTGATGAGAAGCTGATTGGTGTGATCAGGAGCCTCTCTAAGGCTAACGTGGGAAGACCAGTCAATGAGGATGGGGAGGGGTCCTCCTATGCTGGGTGAGTCCCTTTATCTTGTCAGTCAGTGAGAGCAAAATTTATACCAGTGTCATTGTTAATCATGCTTGTTTCCATGCTGGGCAAAGTCAAACACAAACAGGTTTACTGGTAGTACCCAGTAAGACTTTTAGCACTAACAAATTGTGGTATGCATGAATGTTATGTGTATGATGTAGCTTTTTATGGTTTCTGAGAAATAGATGTCCATTGGTTATTAAGAAGTGACACAAGTGTACCAGTATTTTACATATTGGAAAATACTCCCCAAAAGGACCTATGGTTTAGATAATCTTACTTTGGTCCTTGAAACTCCCCTAAATGTGTCTTGTCAAATTTCTCAGGCGCTGCATGATTCCTACTGACTGTTGTTTTTCACACTTTTCAGGTCCACCTATGGTGGTGACTACAGTGGCCCGCCACGCAAGAGGTACCGTTTCAACACCCCTGATGGCGGCAATGGAGGCTTCCGTGGTGGCGACAGAGGCGGATTCAGGGGGGGCTTCAGGGGGGGTCCAGGAGGAGGGGACTTCCGAGGGGGTTACAGAGGCGGGTTTGGCGGCGGGCCACGATTCGGTGGTGACCGTGGAGGATTCCGTGGTGGATTTAGAGGAGGCTATGGAGGAGGATACGGTAGGTGCCATCTTAAGTTACCCAATGAATCACTTTAAGATACTGTGTGCAAAGAATGACTGATTTGGTCTGGAAAGTTTTTCCCAACGAGATTGTGCTTTCAATTAGCCACATTTCAGAGAAGCATGTGACAAGTCTCACTGGGTCAGTCTAAAGCGGTTGAAAGCTCTAGATGGTAACAATTCTTTCATGTTAGAACAAAAGTTTTAGCTCTGAACATGTAACTACCAACTCATATGCAATTTCATAATAACATGTTTTCCTCAGGTGGAGGAGGTGGGGGGTACGGAGGAGGCAGAGGCGGTGGGTTCCAGCGAGGCAGAGGAAGGGGTGGATTCAGGGGCCGACCGAGCGGGGTCTACTAGAGACCTGCGACCTGCTCACACACTTGTGATGATATAACAGTCTTCTATGCTGTATGCTGACTGGAGTTAGCTATTATTGTCCAGAGAATTTGGTCATTTGCTCATTTGGAACACAGTATCTATGTGTGTTTTTGTCAGCATAGATGAATTTGAATGTTTGATTAATGATAAGCATGACAACCATTGTCGATATCAATTACAAGCATCAATAATTCCACAATACTGGAACATCTTTTAAGTTATTTATTTTCAGTTGTAACTTTTTATTTCTGATCTTATATTTAGTGACTGTTGACATGTTTTTTCTTAGTCTGGTTATTTTTTACTTTGGTGACTTGAATGTCCCAGACACGGGTATGGAAGAGTATGATTCAATAGCAGATTTTCAAGGATCGTGATACTAACACGATTTTGCTTTCAAGTATGTATGAAACAGAAACCAAAATGTTGTTACAAAGTCTAACTGATGTAATGGCAGTATAATAAATATTGATAAAGCAATTACCAGAAAATTCTTGTGTGTTAGTTAGTCACAGTATACCTTGGTCATTCTTGAAACTGAGAAGCTCATGCTAGTTTTGTCAGCTGTTGAAATGTAGCCTTGCCCCCTCTTCAGTTGTACAGTAGGTCAGTCCTAACTGTAACAGTAGTCTTGATGTTGTGCAAACACATGGTGAAACAAACATTGATCAAAACCCTACATATTAATGGTAGTCAATTTCACTGGAGCTAGAAACACCTGACTTGTTCACAAGCCTGTAATGGGCACTTAAAACCACAGGGAATTCAAAGAAGTTCCATACATACAAAATGCCTTATTTGAAGTTGACGTTGTTATTTGCCTTGGTAGAGGTGTACTGAGTCCTCTGCACCTGGTAGTGGGAGTGGCACACACTGTATCCTGTGTTGATGAGGAGTTTAAGGTGATAGAATATCAGGAACATTATGCCAAGAGACTTACAATGTCATCCATCTTTTCTGAACTTCTGCCAGCTTTGCTTCATACTACTGCATCATGGGGACATTTTGTCTGCTAAGATAATGGTATGTTGTGCTGTACCATTATAATTTGTCTCGGTATTATGACCATGTGATTTTGATTAGAATTTGATGATATTGTACTCGAAATTTGTCTGGTTGGTACTGGCTCAGACTGCCTGGTACCAGCTTAGTTGTCGCATACCAGTCCCTCTGGGACTGATTCAAATATATGTAAAAAAACACATGGTCTGCTGTGTGGCGCTATATATGCATTTATCCACTGCTTCAAACGGTAGACTAAATTGTTTAGAGACCTAAAATGCTTATGGTGCCATCGAACACATTTCCAAACCGTACGTCACAGTCAGTTGATGCAAGAGTGCAATTACATTTCCAAAACGAGCTATAATTATGTTAGTGGGAGAAATAACAGCTAGCCTATATTTAACGACGTTCTTGATCGTGAGATCGGTTGTTTAGCAACGCATCCTTACAGCGACCCATAAATGGACCATCCAGGCGTGTGCATAATTTTTCTTACTTTACTGATGCAGTGTGTTTTGAGAAATCGACTAAGCATGGTGACGAACATCTTTTGAAGAAGAACCTGGAAAAGTACAAGCGACGGGCTGTGTTCCTCGGTGTATGTTTTCGTGCTATGAGATCCAAGTCGCCCTTATGTATGTAAGCATTTTTGGTTATGTGTTTCTTCGTGTGCAACGACACGAAAGTTTCCGGCAGGGCGAGAAATTGGTTTTGAAGACGCCTGAGTGATAAGGGTGTACTTCAAGAAGTACTAGTAGTTCCTGTCTAAGACGCCAAAATGCCTGCGTTTCCGTACGGCACGTCTAAGGCCCTGAGCGCCCTGCACCTGGTAGTGGGAGTGACCGGCATCGTGCTGGGTGTAGCCGAGCTGTTCTTCAAAACCAGGGAAGACGCGCGGAGCCAGCACAACAAGGCCTTACAGCTGACTGTGGGCGATGTCGGGACGCCTATCATCGGCGGACTGTGGGTAGGTGAAGGTTTAAGCATTACCGAAGGTTTAAATGAAAGTTTAAGCATCACCGAAGGTTTAAGTATTACCGAATTACTCGTAGTATGACCAGCATGAAAGTATTGCCATTGATGGTCATTCGATCGAAGGTATATGCACGTTTTCAGAACTGAGGACTTTACCAAGCATTATAGCGATATAAGAAAGCTAGACTTTCGATGGATGACCAATTCAGCACCAAGGACAGTAACGTTATCTCTTCGTTAGTCCGTTATAAAACGAATAGGAATGTTTTGCGTTAAGATCTTACGGACGCCAATGCAAAAAGGGTTGGTACTCTGGTGTTGGTTTTTGTCATCAGATCAAAAATTAGAAAAAGTGTTAACTGCAAGATTTGACCTAACAAGACAAGGGCGCTGTTCTTTTGGGCAAACTCTCTTACGGCGTTATACATTCGAATAAGTGCGATAACATGGTACAGCTAAGATTTACTTTATAACAGCTCCTATATTGCTGCCTTTTTCCTGTTCAACAGTTTCTCCTAGTCGGTAGTGTAGGTGCCTCTCTGGAACCTGGCGGTCCCAACAATAAGTGCAAGGTAAGATGAACTTGAAAAAATTCGAAATTTATGAAAGGCTGTAATATCAGCGCTTGGAAGTTGTGAGCCAGATTGAATGGGTGATCTCCATTGAAAATATTGGTTACGAAAGGAAAACGATGGCAGGTTTTTACGATTTAAATGTCTTCTATATATTTTGTCTTAATATGACTCCGTTATGTGTATTCGAATATGCTAAATATTGTACGATTGGCCCTGTTATTGACAGGAGCAGTAGGAAGCAATTACACGTATTACATCATTTTTGCGTCAGTGTTAGTGACGTTTTTATCCCCATGGTAACCACAGATAGCTGCCTACCACGTCCTGTCAGTTGTCAGCTGTGTTCTGTTCGCCCCGGCCATGGGAATCATCGCGGCCAACAGCATCTCACAGGTAACAATATGCATAAGCGTGTAATTACTAGCGCATATGTAACCTTCCATTAGATTTTGACGTCAAAATATAGCGAACCAATCAGATTCTACAAACGAAACAGTAAGAGAAAATCATGGGAAAGTCTTGTGTAAAATCTCAATAACGTCAACCTTGTCAGTTTGCTACCAGTCTTCGGAAGAGGATGGAAAGTGTAGACGTTGGCCAAATATACAGGTGATATGTCAGAGGAGTTGATCCGCTAGAAGATTCATGTTCGGGAGCGCCAAACTGTACTCCTTTCGCGGACTAACGGCTTAATATGTTATCTGTTTATTTGGCCAATTTCTGCTCTTTCCAGCCGATTCTGAAGTCTGATAGAGGCGATCAATTTGCAACTATCGTTTATTATGTTTACCGATATTGTTTTTGCTCTGTTTCTTCTTCCGTTCCAAATACTGACCTGGTCAATGACCTGAACCAGACCGTCTGTCACCATGGTAACTGGTGATGGATTACATAATGTTGCAATTTTATAGTCGGAGGCCTAGGGATTTAGACTCCCGTCACCATATATGTGAATGAGTTTGAGTAAGAATTAACAGATCAGACCATATGCATTTGCTTTGAAAATGTTACCTTTCTAGTTAGAATTGTATATCATGCAATTTTAAAGAGTTTGATGTGTCTAGGAAGAAGGTATTGTGCGTATCTTTTAAATGCCACCTATTGTTTCCAATTCCATGTTATCATTAGCGACAGGACGCGCTTGAGTGCACGTCTGAGACCTGTGCGGAGGCGTCTGGCATCCTGGGTATCCAGGCAGCGGTGATCGCGGCGGCGGTGGTGGAGGTGTGTCTGTCCGTAACCACGGCAACCATCTGCTGCTGCTGGGCCCCGCCGAGTACAGCACAGGTAAGGGTGAAGCAAGTCCTGAAAGAGCGTTTTAAAGCAATATTATGTACGATTTTTTGCACCAAAACTGTAAATATAGATATCTAAAATTTTCTCATCTATATTGTTATTTTCAATAACTTTCAACATAGTAGCGTCGCGCTATTTCGCTTTTCCTGGGACTCATCAGCGCAGCGCGAGAATCAGTTGCGCCAGGCCCGCTGTATTTTTAGGAGGCTCCTAAAAAGAATGTCAACAGATAGCGGTTTTTGTTCGGGTATCTTCGGCAGCTTCCAGCGCGTTTTTGCGACACAATGACGTTGATCGTTTACTCCCCAAATGTCATCATGAACCAAGATAGGCTTATAGCGCGAGAAAATGTGTAAAACAACGATGCTGAAAATAGGGAAAATCTTACATAATATCGCCTTTAAAACCAATCGTAGGAACATGAAGGCAAAGTGAATACCGACTATTACGAAGTCATATTTACGTGCAAGTATTGTCATTAATAATTAAGAACGTGTTCACTGTAAAGGACTTTCCGTTCCTAAGTATTATAGCGAAATAAGAAAGGTAGACTTGAACGCTTTCGAGGGATGACTCATTCATTCAGTACCAAGGACAATAACAATATGCTGTTTTTATGTCTTGAAAGGGCGCGCGTTTTAAAACACTCATAGGGACATAAAAACAAAATGAACTATATACCGACTATACGTGGGATTGGAGAAAGTTGGACAAACGTCAGAATCATTTTCGTCGCGTTTTGCCCCATTGACGAAAAACGTGAAGTTGTTGCTGAAATTTTTGAGATAGAGTGGAGAAAACCTTTGTACTTAAAAAAAGGGATAATAGAATTGTACACACAAGTCCCACACGGAAACAACCAGAAAGTTATTTAAAAAATGAAGGGAAAAACATTTCACAACTAGTTGACTTTTGCTTAGTAACAGAAACAAAATGACACGCCAGTAACCCATCAAACATTTGGGGCAATTACCCTTCCTGAATACTATACTCACTAGTGTCACTGAAGAAAGGTAGTGGATGCCACCCGAAACCTCCGACCGTTCCCAAAATCATATCCACTGCTTTTTGGCGTATCGTATTACCTGGATGTCTAACCTTCACCGACGTATACTTACCATCGTTGTCGATTTCTTCTACTAAACCTCCATCTCTCACGTGCACGACTGTACCTCAGGTGATGCCGATGTCCGTCCCGTACACCATCCAGGTGGTACCACAGACCGCCGGCCCCGGCCAGGGCGGGAGGTTACTGGTGCCGCAGCCGCAGTTCTACCTGCCCAACCAGACCATGGCTGACGACATCGACTTCAAGAAGACCGCAATTGATGCCGATGGTGAGATAGGTCAAAGAAAGAGGTTGAAAGTCCTTATTCACCATCCACTCATTCATCATTTAATTCATTCATTCATTCGTTCGTTCATCCATCCATCCTCCATCCATCCATCCATTCATTTTTTCATCAGTTCCTGTCTTCGATAATGTTTTTCACAATGCTTCTGTCTAATAAGGCCATTATACCTTTGAACGAAATAGATGTAGATCAATAGATAAGCTGGGGGTACAGGACATAGCAGGTTGAAATATATCAATAACTGACACATTATAGATGGTTAACGTAGCCTAAATTCACCCATTAGACAATAGTCCAATATACTACAAAACAATATATTGCAAAGCAAAGGTTCGTAATGTGTCATGCCATATCAAACAGGACTACATGTAGGTGCGAGGGAAGAAGTCAAGAAAACCAGCTCCTCCCAGACGCCCCCTGACGCCCGTGACGTGGGCTGCAACACGCAGGACAAGCTGATTCCGTGGCTGGGCATCTCCGCGGAGGAGCTGGAGAACGCTCGGGCCACCCTGCGCCCTCCCCCGCCCAAGAAGGCGTGGGCAGCCCCGGGCGCGATCCTCAGGAGGATCACCAAGCACCAGAACGGGAACGTGTGGCCGTTAGGGATGACCAAAAGTCGTGTGGCAGAGAAGAAAGCCAACAGATCTGGGAATAACAATGGTCCCAGTCCGTCCACGTCCAAAGCTATTGAGTTTCATGGTGATATTGGGAGCCCTGTGGATGATAATAAAAATGAGTCCAAAGCCCCGTCCGCCCCAAGCCCAACCCCTCCCCCATCCCCTCTCCCTGGGGTTGTCATTGATTAGTGTAACAAGTAGTGCATGTAGCAATGGCTTACACATCTATACAGTCATGTCATCTTACCATTAACTTTATATCAACTTTTTTTTATTTGCCGAAATGTTAGTTATGTTGTGTAGCATTACAGTGACAAAAATCCAGCTAACATTTGTGAGTTACTTGTCAGTTTGTATCTTTCAATGCTGTCAAGTATACATGTATTGTGAAGCATATGATAAACATCTGTGAATTTTGTTCTAAGATATATTACTCATAAATCTATATATATATATGGTCTTGTAAGAAGTCACCATATTATAGTTGTTGTGTCTAAAACATTATGTTTAGTCTACATTGTGTACAAAAATTAAGCATTATCTGTTGTATTGTGAAGAAATGTATTGTCAGTCAATGATAGTAGTCAGTTATGCTCTCAAGTACTTGGCATTGTCATGTTTTATTATAGTTCATTCTTAACATTGATATTGCTGTTGAAATCAATGTTTTCAATTACGTATACACTGTGCCATGTAAAATTCACACAGTCCTGATACAGGCAATACATATATACCATACATAAAAAGATGCCAGCATACAATATGGCAAAATGGAATTTGTTGCTTTGTAACATTTGTATGTATTTACAGTGTACTAAACTTCACAGCAGCATATACTCTTTAAAATAGCCAGCAACATTGCATTAAAAGAAGTATTCTTTCCACAACTTTCACCTCAACATTTCTGAAGGTATTCCAACTCTTTGCCATGCTTTTGAGATGAAAAACACTAAATCTCATATAGGCAAGATTTGGGGCAAAAGTTGAATCACGGTGTTTTATCAGCACCATTGTTGACCTGTGTCCAAAGAAGCACAGTGGAAAGGTTCTAAGAAGTTTCACCACAGCATGCAGTACTAAAATATTTCACAAGGAGGTGTTGTAGAAGTAACATTTGATCAGTGGTGTGTGTGTTGAGAGACGCTGGCCAGGAATGGTCCCATCTGTTCTTCAGTCTCAAACTGGTACAGGCCTGGTTCTCTATGGTCGCACATCCTAGGGGAGGAGGGCAGAAAGTGATAAAGATTTGAATCACAGACATCAAACTGCACTGAGCATGCCCTTCCATGCTAACACACACACAGAAATCAATAATAATAATAATAATAACCTTTATTGTACATTCATGCCCTACCGGGCTACATGTAGGTACAGGCGAACAGATGAAATAGGTAATATTTTATTTTTTATTTTAATTCGATTGTGACGATACAATACACTGGCCACCCAGGCAGCATAGCTGATAGGTAATATACATGTTTGTTGTACAAACAGCTCTAAATCTACTCTAATACATAAGTTCGGCTTCTTCTCGTTTCTTTGTAATGTTAAAAATATAATTTGAAATGGGTTTGTATAATACAGGATGATCAAAGCGTATAAGAAAGATAAATTTTCAATATTAGGCAAGTATTGGAAGTATGGAAACGTACTTGTAATATATAAATAATAGACAGTAAAGTTGTTTTACCACAAAAGTAATCATACCTGTCATAGATGATGCCATCCACCTCCATGGACTTCAGAAGACTCATGTTGGCCGGGTCGTTAATGTCTTCTCCCCAAACGAAGCAAACCAGTTTGCGTTTTGCAATCTCTTCAGTGAAGGATGGATTTCTTAAGATGTCTTCTGCATGAAGATCTACTCCCTGAGAGTGTGAACACAGAAATAGAACTTGTCACCTATTAAGAATGAATTTTTTTTTCTCACACAACCATGTTTTTCTTATCCCCAGCTTCAATCCCCAAAATGAAACTCAAAAAGTAAATATGCAGAAACACTAACCAGGAGACCCTCTGCCAGGGCAAAGTTCATCGCCATGGGAACCGTGCGACACCTGAGGTCCATCATCTCAGCCCAGCGCTCTGTCACACCCTGAGACAGGAACAGCACAGGGTACTTGTTCTGCTTACGACGCAGTCTGTTGGAGAAAAAAATGGGGTACATACGGTTAACTGCAGCTGTGGGTGGCAATGGCATTGTGACAAACTGTGTCAAACTCTCTCTTTAGCAATGACCTTTATGGCATTGTAAATGGACAAAGTCTAAGTACATTGAGGTAACCACTAGTACAATGACTTTCACAATGCTATATTATGAATCCCCTGCAACAAATGACATACATGTGTATTTGGTGTGTACTTGGAATCTAGACATATTCAGACTTATTCAGTCAACTACAGTCCTCAACAATGCCAGTGAAAATTAGACACAGTCATCAGTATAATATACTATAACTGGATAAAAATATAACAGTTGAAACATGCTAAAGAGAAGGACTGACAGAATGCAGCAGTCTGCATCAAACGAGGACAGCAGGATTCTCCTCTTCCCTCCATTCTCCAACACCTCCCGCATGATGATGTCAACTATCTCATTACGGTCGAAGTACGTGTCCATTTCTTCTTCCCAGGCACCATCCTAATGTCACCAAGAAAAACAATGCTTAGAATAGAATCATAGGGAATGACATCTGTCATTTAGATACACATAGAGGAGAACATAGAGAATGTTAACACAATTAAGACTATTACAAAAGCAACTATTACAAAAGCAAGAGGGACTTCTTACAATATTAATAACATTCTGAAAATTGTCCTACATAAAATGTTGTACAATTTTGTAATGTTGTTAATCTATGAAAAGATTATCACAGAGTCTTATAATTTTGATCTAACTGAACAGCTCTGAAATGAACCCACCTGCTGCAGTAGAGGGAACTTGACTTCTATGTTGAGGTTGACATGCTCTGGAAGGGTGTTGAAGACCTAGTGATAACATACAATGTGTTATTGACTGGCACAATCTCAGCCTAATGTCACACAAAGGCAGTATCATGCTATGAAATCATATATCTTATTATATAAAGCAAGCAATGTTTCAATCTTGATATGAAAAAGTAGTCAATCACATCAATTATCAAGAAACCAGCCAATGTACAACAAATGTAAATGTATGATCAGACTGACACACCTTTCTGAGAGTTGGGAAGGGATGAACATCTGGGGGCTCCTCCTCATCAATACTTGCATCTAGAAAAGAGTTGTGCAAGATCGTCAAGTACAGGTATTTCAAATCACTTACATGTCAATACCAATACATACACAACCTATACAAGTTATAGTGGCAAACAAAAGCCTCAACAGAGACTGAGTCAAACATAATTCAGGATAGATTCAGAATAGGATAATCCACAAGATCACTGATCATTTTATACTGACCTTTGTCTGCTAGGAGTTTCTTAGCAGTCTTGTGATCAAGCTGTGGAAGAAACAACATGATAACAGTTGAATTTTCACCCCTCCAAAGTCTTAGCAGGAAGAGGCTTACTTTTAGAATACAAAATAAGATAAAAGATTTTCTAAAAAAAATTGCAGCTATATAATCTTCTACATATATATCAATCATCTACAGTACAGGGTTGCAGACCTTGAGACTTTGCACATCCTCCAAAGTCAGGTCCATGACAGCAACTTCCATCAACTGAGCACCACTTGTTCCTCCCTTCTGCAAAGGCAGGGAAAGACTTCATGATAATACAAGGTACATTGTAGCAGTAGACAATCTCAGGATATAACAGACTTGTATGTACATGTGGAAGTTGAAGTCACTTTGCATTTACGCCAAAAAACAGTTACTCAAGCAACTGGATATGATTTTGAAAACGTCAGACGTTTCAGCTAGTATCCACTAGCTTTCGTCAGTGACTGAGAGACCAGAGGGGAAAGCAGGTTTATAAGCAAAACCTGTTGATTGATATGCAAATAAAGTGAAGACAAATTTTTGGAAGTCGAAAAAGGAACTTCACTTTATTTGCATATCAATCAACAGGTTTTGCTTATAAACCTGCTTTCCCCTCTGGTCTCTCAGTCACTGACGAAAGCTAGTGGATACTAGCTGAAACGTCTGACGTTTTCAAAATCATATCCAGTTGCTTGAGTAACTGTTTTTTGGCGTATCGTATTACCTGGATGTCTAACCTTCATCGACGTCACTTTGCATTTGTTTAAAGTCAGTGTTGATTGATTTAAAATAAATGGGTCTACAGACTAATTACTCTTACATAATGAAAGAGAAGTAAAAATGTCTTACCATCTTGGTTGAAATGCAGGCCTTGTAGTCGTGGTAAACAATGGGGACTTTGTCTTTAGTAAGCTGGACATCAAACTCCACAAAAGCAGCTCCCTGGAAACAAAGCAAAATTGCAGGTCAAGTATCAGAAATTTTTTATTTACTACAAATGTATGTCCACATGATGTATTTGAAAAATCACAAAAATATTGATGTTACATTTGATACAGAGAGGTAGATTTGGAAAGTGCACGGAACTTAATTCAAGGCTGTACATTGACTTACATGGTTAGCAGCACTCATCAGTGATGCTATGGTATTCTCTCGTATGTGTGAGACTCTGAAATAGGGAAACAACTTTGTCATGTGTAAAGCAAGATATGATAACACAAACAGTTTCTCTCTTCTGCATTCAATTGGTATCAACATTTATGTCAAATACATGTACAATATTTCCAGGTCCAACTGTAATCATTATGAAGGGTTTGAAAACTTACGAGGCAGCAGTGTAAGAGTTGCCCATGCCCCTGTGTCCCACATCCAAGGTTTTCCGTTTCTTCCAGAAGCGAGCATAGGACACCTCAGCCGTGCACACATCATCAGGCATGGGGGTGATCATCAGGTAGTCAACTGGAAATGGACCAGCAATCCATAAACATTAACATAAGTCATGTATTTTTAAATTAGTTTTTTCACTGTTTAAGCTCTATACATGTAGTATATACTTGTAGCTTGAAAGTTCATCTGTTTTGGTATAAGACATAAAAAAAAATGTTTTAACTGTAAATGGTAAATGTGTAGCTTCCAACAAAAGAAACTGGAATTACCCAATTTTTTTCACAGCACAACTCCAGTTTTTGTCAAGGAATGAGCAATCCACTGCATATATTGTGTGACATCACATTATATAGATTACTCATTCCTTGACAAAGACTTGAGTTGTACAGTCCAACTTCTTGTGTTGGAAATTACAGTTCAAAATTATTTCTAGTTATGATATTAGCCTTCTAATGTTATGTATCTTTACTTAGAATATTTCTTGTTTCAAAGGCCACCTACCATTGATCTGTCCAACCAGCCTGTTGTGGTTGTTATGGAGGGGGACAGACACCACACCTGTGGACCCCGTCAGGTTAGTGGGCAGGACCGTTGCCTTGGCAACAGGCTGGGCGTGGCCGTCCGACTGGGCAGCATTGACCTCTGACTCAGCATACAGCAGTATGTCAAAGGCCTGCAGAAACAAAAAAAAAGTTACTAAAAAGTCAGAAAAAGTCCAGAAAACTCTACTTTTTCTAATATGTCACTTTTAAATGCCTGCCTTTTCAACCTTTTGCAAGGGCAATACAATAGTACTGTAGATTGGCATTGCACCAAATTGCTGTAAATGTACAACAAAGAATTTAACAAATCTTGACAGGCTGCATTACCATCATAGGCCAGGCTGACTCTAACAACTCATAGAACCCATTTACAAAGCAAATCTATAAGTTTGTTCATTGATTGGTAAATCACTTCTGGCTTACCCAGTCCTGAGGGTTGAACACCTGAGTAGTGAAGATGAGGTAGCTGTCGTTCTCCCACAGGTGACCATACTGGTGCTGTAGAACTGGGTGCCACTGGGTGTCATTCAGCACCTGCACAGGACATCATCAACACTGATTCTAGATAGTCTGATTATTGCATTATGGCAACAACTGCCAGTACAATGGTCTCGCATTATAGTCCGTAAAGCAACGGAGTGATTTTTTTAAAAAATTGCCACTCAAACACTGAAGTATATATAATAACATTTCAAATAGGTTCTAAACCCTGGTATGCATGCTTACACTCACCTTGCAGGTCACTGGGATTTCTTCACAGGTAGAGCTGTCATCTTTTCCATCTCCTGTTTGTTCCTGAGACAACAAGAATATTCATTTTGGTACCATTCTCTTAAGATTGAGCTATAAACAGCTTCATGTAAAATGAAATTAGAACTAATTTAAGCCATATTCATATTATTCATCATCTATTGAATACATCTTTTGCGAGAGACATTTTTGGGTAAAAAATTGATACAGGGATGGTCTTGACGTGAGTCCAACAGTAAGGCATCTGAACATGAAGAATACCTACCTGTAATGCCTGTATGTTAATAGGCATGACTTTGATGAGGAATTTCCTGTTGACGTCTTGCTGGCTGAAGATGGTGATGGGAGGAGACTTGGAGGAATGGAAGCGTAGCCGGATCTCTGTCTGATCAACTAACCAGCCCTGGTCAACAGCACAGCCATCTCCATCTGGGAAAATTAAATATCAATATTATTATAAAATGTTATCAACTATGATCCTCTTTAGACTTGTTACTAAGTAAACACCAACCAACAGAGAGGAAAATGTGACTCTGAAATCTAACATATCAGTCTGACTCACAATATATAAAATCTATGTGCCATATCTCTGCTCCCCTTTCTTAGCCTGGTTACCAAACCTACATTATAGCTCCCGATATAATAGTTTGGTAACCAGGCTACCCTTTCTGACATCAAAACACTGGTATCTTACATGACATTATAGATAAATCTTATCTAAAGGTATGAAAAGTACTGGTATATGTATATAAAAGAATGTGTACTTACCATAGCTTCCAAAACTCCCTCCATCAGCAACACAATTTTGCCCTGTCATGTAAATAATGAGTATTAAATTAAAAATGATTTTGGAAGGTTAACAAGTATACAGTTGCAAAGTAGAAGAAAATTGGCATCAATCTAAAATGATAACACAATTCATTTGATGACCTAGGGCCAATTGCCTACCATCGGGTATGAAGGTTCGAGGTTGTCTGTATGTTTCCCACTTGACTATCATTAGTTTCTTCCCCATCTTGTCTTGTCTGCTATGACAGACCATGTACCTGTACTGGACAGGTGTTCCCTCAGGTAAGGGCACTGTACAGCTCCACACATCACTGCAACAGAATGGAGAGTAATGTGAAGAAATGACGTATCAAAAATCATGTAATATTGTGTTTTTGTACTTTATTCAAACATCTACAAGTATATGTATTATAGCTTTAACCCTAACCTGAATAGCACACCAGCTAGACAGGTAAGAATATTGATACCGAGGTCCATCCCTTGCTGTTTTCCTTCACCTGAATACTAGTGCACAGAAATTGCTCTAAATCTACTACAGTGTTATCAAAGCCCATAAATTTAGACCTATACCAAGGAGGTTTTTCAGACATTCCCAGGGTTACTTAGCCTGGGTGCCATTCTCCATAGTTTCTGCAGCTCTCTAATGTTGCTGGCTACCACAGAGCTGGTGGAAACTACAGAGGATGGCACCCAGGCTAAGAGTGGGTTTCTTTTACTTCTAAGTATGTAATAAGTCAGGAGAATTAGCAAAATATGTGAACATTGAATAGAATCAAGCCAAAATAGTTTAAAGGAAAAATCATATGGCTGGTCACCAAGGTGTGTCTTAAAGGTTAGATAGGGGCAATGAAAAGAAGAGACTTGCCTGTCTTGTTTCTGTAGGTCCACAGCCTTGTGAGGGTCCCAGCCGCCCAGGGATGGACAGTCTCCTACCACAGCCACACAGTGCTGGGCAGACACGGACACATGCACGCGGAAGGTGACCTGGGAGGTCATCCTGGTGTTAGCTTCTCGGTTCAGCTGCGTGATGACTGTTACTGGCCATCCAGCTACTAGTATAGGGAATAAGTACAAACCCCACAGATCAACAGTTGGCATGAGGAATTCGCTAACAGTTACAATCTTACCACCTACCCCATAATGGCTCCCCCCCCCCCCCCAACATAGATTTATTACAGCTTCCAAGTGCCTTCCACTGCCCCTTTTAAGTGCTTGCAAGCATGATCATTTTTACAGGATAAAAGATATATAAGTAACCTCATTGGGCAGACAAACAGCATTCCACACAACAGATGTAACTGTTATTTCAATTGCTCAATAATTTAGTAATCAAAAAAGCACTGACGTTACTGTGCACTGAAAACCCTACAAAAGGCTTAAGCAATAGTCCCCACCAGACTCCTTTGCAGGCTGCATAAATAGTAGAAATCGACCCAAAAGGGGGATATAATTGGACAGAGGAGTTGACCGGCCAGAGAGGGTCCATTTGCTTTTTTAGGCCGATTTCTACTTATTTATTCAGCCTGCAAAGGAGTCTGGTGGAGACTAGCAAAACAACACAATTATGCAGTCCCAGAGGAGGGGTTTGGTACTGTAGTAAACAGAAGCATTTGTCTGCAACATTTCGAAGTCTATTAACCTAAGAACATTTCTTGATTAACCGCAAGGGCAGCATGGAGATGCTTTAAGACCAGTTCATAAGTCACTTTAGTCTACCTTTAACCGGCTAACTGCTGACTGGCAGTGACCCTCCCACACTCAGTAGTATTTGTGTCTGAAACTGCGGATACGTAAATACTATCTTCCGGAGACTATATTATATAAAAGGCACCATCTACAACAACGTACCTTCCCGATTTCTTGGTTCAAAGTCCGCTGTAGTCGACCAAAATTTAACAGTGCGACCTTGATCTTACGCGTACCGACTGGTTCTCCCTCCCACCTTGCGTTTACTAACAGGGATGACCTTTCCAATTTGACCTTACGACGTCACAAAGAGCACGGTTTTGCTAGACGCTGATTGGTTGGGTGATTAGGGATATCCCTGTGCTGTCATGATCTGCTCTTTCACAAACAGGCAGCATGTGGTTTGCATGGGACGATCACGCCCCCAGCCGGCCAGATGGATCACGACAGCAAAGGTGTCTTGACTCGGAGGCCTTGTACTAAGGCCATGTTGATTTCATTATATGGATGACATCCCCTGGGAACCCCAAAACTGATGCGAGCGTGCGAATAAAAAAGTTTTGCAAAAAAAAAAGTTGCTTTCATTATGAAATCTACGTGGTCATATGAAGGTTGAACAAATGACACAGAGTATGGTATGGTCAATAATCTACTCTTTAAATTCATTTCTTTACATTTTCGTCTTTTTCGTTTGATTTTGGCATTGTACGGCATTGGTATTGTTTTTTTTTGCAACTTACGGTAGATATTTGCTCATTTTGCAACTGTTTTGTACGATTTACAGTGTGGTTAAAACTTTTTTTTTTGGAAACGGCCGAAAATTCATGCGCGCGCGCGGATGTCATCTAATCTTCCTGGAGATTTTTTTTTTCAAAAGTGCATTGAAGGAGACTGGATTCGATGGGCCACGATTGTAATGGAATATCGCGTAATAACAGTTCCAATTGTTTATGTTGTTTCAGAATAAATGTCAGATGAAAGACAAAATGAAACTGATGATCTTGGTACTTTTGTGTTTGTTTTGCACCTAGACTGAATGACTGGAGATGAGGGTAAATAGATTTATTCGTCTTCGTATAGTCATTATGAAAATGGACTGTAAAAAACGAAAGAAGTTAGTAGTTTTGAGGTCTAAAAATGATTCTCTAAGTCAAAGTGAGGGCAACACGATCCTGCTTTGTTGAAACAATTTAAATTAATAAGTCACTAAAGTCTACCTTACCGGCTAGCTCTATGCATGCACGTCTTCGTATAGTCATGTTAAGATGGAATTAAAAACGTTAAAAATGAAAGAGAATAGAAAAAAATCACTTTTACATTTTTGCAAGTACATGAATCACTATTTAAAATGACAAGTCGAAGGTTCAAAAGATCGATACTGTATTGTAATCAAATGAGCTGACCCGGATGTAGCTGTGCCATGAAACACACATCTGTATTTGTAAAACCTTCATGATTACGTGTCCTGTTCCACATCAAGGTTAGCCACATCGACTGAATCAGCTGTCACGGTAACATTTCTATGTTTACCTTCGCAGAAGAAAAATGTATTGTTTTTGCTCTGTTTCTTCTTCCGCCTCTTCTTCCTCTTCGTCTTCTCCAAACAAATAAGGTGAATGACTTGAACCAGACGTCTGTCACCATGGTAACCAGTGTTGGGTTACATCATGTTGCAATTCTACAGCAGGAGGGATTTAGACTCCTGTCACCATATATATGAATGTGTTTGAGTAGACCATATGCGAAGGTAAACATTATGCGTTTGCTCTGCAAATGTTACCTTTCTAGTTTCTCAGCTGTCTCCACTGTAATCCCCGTGTTCCGTAGCTAAGTATAATACACCTTGGAAAGAATTCCCCGTGAAGACCCACAAGATTCATGCGTCACTCTAAAATCCATCCATACCGGGTAAACAATGTAACAGCTGTTCTATTATTGATCAGTGCTTTGTCGTTTGTTGTAATCCGTACTGGCTCAGTACTAGTATGTACAGATTCATCATGATTATTGAACTTTAGCGTTAAGTATTGAGCTTTGGCATTATTCTGACCCGTTTTATATTCTTTATCTGGACATGGAAACATATTGTACGTATGCTGCCCCCATATCGTGACATGCCAACATGCATATCATAATCCATGTACTAGTAGTTGAATGCAAAATGAATATATGTTGCAGAATAAAGTCAAACGTACATATCTTATCATGGCATGTTAGGCATTTGTACGCATTTTTGTTCAATATATAACGATCTCTTGTTGGAATGTATCATTTATCGGTTCTCCGATAAATATGCAACACAACAAGTATGTTTTAACATACTTGTTAAAACATATGGCGAAGGCAAACGTTTATGATGCTTTTGTTTTTGTATATTTCAATGACTCCATCACACTACGTGTGATCATGTGGGCACTGTTGCCACCAGGGCTCAAACACAGCTGCAGCTGATTGCATTATGCAGTAATACGATAGCGTGGGTTAGTATCATATTGCATGCACTTCCAATTAGATTAGGTGCACACTAGTGTAACAGTCGTGTTTCTTCTGATCGCAAAGTCCTGCTCAGAGAACAGGATATATAAACATATTTGGTTTCTCACTTCGGTTGACGGTAGCATAAATTCGCCACAATGCGTGCATGCGTCACAGCAATACCACCCGTACCGATGGAATATTTAATGCATATATCATAAATTAGCTTATAGAACATCGATAATATCATGTATTAGCTTATAGAACATCGATTCTAAAATGTTTTCATCACACAAATGATCATTGCACAACTCCTTTCACTATTAAGATGGTCAGACTAGCAATCCTTTTCCCCGCAAAACAAAGAAACAAACAAACAAATAAACAAACACGGTATATTGTGGTTCAATCTACTATTTTTTTTATTGATGTATTATCATGGATCGTGCTTACATTTTCACAATCCATCCACATTTCTAATATCATCCGTAGTTATGAGCACTGTATCCTCCATCTATCTGTGAAGGGATACTTAGTAATTTATATGAAAATTACTTTTTGTAAAACATATCTGGTGTCAACATTGTTGCTCACTCAGTGTGGGAAGTTGCTCATTTTTTTTTAAATCATGTTTATATCAAATTGATCTAATGCTGCTGTAAGAGCTGTGTGCTTGAGCAGCTGAGTTAAAGATGAGCTCGAGCACTACACAACCCTTTCCCACGTTGGGATACTCGTCATCTCTCTACCGTGTTTCTGATCGTAGTTTGGCACATTCAAATATGTTGGAGAAAACATTAACCCTTGTCCTGCTGGCATTCCTGGCACAATATTTTTCAATATTTTCATGTCTTGATTAGATTAAAAAAAAACAAGATTTTTTTGCCCTGCAGTGGCATAGTTACTTCCGCATTCGTTGCGTTTCTCTGCGGTGTAATCCGTTGCACGAGAAATACCCCCAAATTGTACCTATGCAGGGTGCTATATAGATGGTACTGTATGTGCCGCGCAACATATGTTGCGCACAGCAGGACAAGGGTTAAGATCTACAGTTACTGAAGAGATATTGAAATATCTCTCAGATCTACATGTGAGAGCCATACGACATTCTCCTGATCATGTGTGTAGTTACATTGGATCGGATGAGTAATATTTCCTTTCGTGCATCCTCCTAGCTTTTAAGAAATCCTAGCTTTTATTGAAAGCTATATACATATCAACGGTATGAAATGCAATATATGTAATTAATACTATATGTAATGTATGTAATTAATCTACCCCCAAAGTCACATGCCATGGCGAATGATCTGCAGGAAGAAATAGATTCTTGAAAGGAAACCATTTTTACTCCGTCGGAGTGCCAGGCATATATCCGGGCCGATCAACAACCGGATACCGACTGGGTAAAGTCGATAACGTCCGCGTCCTGTTTACTCTTCTGTTTATGTGTTCCGTACGGTTCCGTCTGCCGACTGCCTTGTAATATAAACATAAAACCTCTCTCATCTAGCTGCTCTTTGTAGACATTCGTATGTTTATGATGGCACATATTGCCGACAGAATGCTTTTACATATACAATGCGCAATGTGAATCCATAGAAGGCTACGTTTAGGCTAAACATCTCGTACCACGAACCGTGATAAATATAAAGTGTGCAAGCTATAAAGCATCACATACAATACGTGTACCGTGCATTTTGCCAACGTACTCTGCAAACACTCCCCCATGGTTTTAGTACTGCATGTACACGCACAAGTTTCGTGCACGTTTCCGTGTTACAATACAAAGGAAATGCAGCTTAAGAATGAATGCTTATCTCTGCTCACATGTTTTTTTCTTGGTACTTGAACAGGCCGATCGACTAACGTTATGATCTTACAGAAAATCAAAATATTGCATGAATAATGGCGGTTGTGATTGCTGTTAAAAAGGTCAAAGGTTGCAGTCCTATTTGTTACGTATCCTGTTCAAACAGAAGAGGTACTGTGTGTTGGTATTGTTTGACCGAGCCCATGCTTGAGCTGAGAGTTACTGAGTAAGAGTCAACAAAAGGAGGGAGGTCAATGCAGGTTCATGGCACTATCTCGTGTTTCATTCAGTAACGTTCAAAATACAATTTTATTTGACCTGACCTGACCTATGAAATACTGCAGAACCATAGAAGACAATAAGACAATTCAGTAAATGGATACTCCATTGCTTGTCCTTGAAGCAGTAATTGTCAATAAAAGACCAACAGAATTGACTTAGGCCTGTCTTAGTGGTGCGTGTCCCAGCAGACATGTACCTAGTCAACCATGGAGGTTTCCAAGGCACATTTCCAGACATTCCGGTCAACTTGCTGGAGGGACTCCAAGCAGACAATCATTTTCACATGAGTTGACACATTCGTGACCGCCCTTAGGCGATCGACGACATGTTAGTCTGCGCTCCTTGTATTAATTGTGACTATTCAGTTTGTCTCTCATATACATGTACATTAGAGTTAACTTTATATCACACATAGCAGTTTAAAGTATCGTATTACATTAATTAAAACATATGCACCATGATGGTGTTTATTCAAACTACAGCTGTATTTCGTTTTTTTCATTCAGGCAAGTGAGTATTAAATATAAATAAATATGTCTGTTTTGAGAGGACTATCTTTGTATTTACGCATCCTGCTATGTGTTACGACGTGGACTGAAATATACATGCAGCCTTCAATACATGATTGTGTGTTTTTGTGTCACAGACTTTCATGCTATCTTCACTACTGCGATTATCTTTCATCACTACTTACACATGACTTAACTCGATATGACAATTGTGACACGCCAAATCC